TCGATGGGGAAGGAGCCCAGGCCGGTGCCTGCTTCACCTGGGGATGTGCAAACCGAAGGCGGGTCTTCGTGGGCGTTGGTAGTGGGCGGATGTGAATGGGGGTGCAGCGACTGAGGAGAGAGAAAGGGAAATCCGGCTCTGTCTACTGCACATTGGGTGTAGGATCGTTTAGTTGCTAGAGGGTGCCAGAAGGATCCAGGGTGGAGGATCCTAATCGAGTGTAGACGTTGACGTCTGGTGCTTGGTAATATGTGGTGATGATGCTCGAGTGCGCAAACGAGGAAGCGACGGCGGGCTGCGCCTGCTTTTGAGACGAGCCTCTTTCGCTCTTTCCGCGCGCGGACCACTATGGATGCCCATCCACCCTAACGCCGCCCCCTGTCGGCGCCATGCATGCACTACCACAGCCCAAGGGACCCCGGCTGTTAGCAGTCCCTCATCTACGGGTCAGATTGACCATGGCACCATGCTGTGCCTCCTGCCCATATTGCCCACGAGTATTCTGGGAAGCTAGCCCCGAACCCTACACTGTCCAAGCCGCTCTCTGACTCTTCTCTGCAGTCGAAACGGACGCCTTCTACAGTATACACCATGTGTTGACTCCCCGTTGATGCCTAACGAGCATTGCGCCCAGCCTGTTTTATATTTGTTCTGTTTTGGGTGTGTAATATTGGAAACATCATGTTGCTAGCTATATACCCGTAATCCTGGACACCCTCAGAGATGCCCCTTCGAGCGTGGCTAGCGTAAGCAGCGCAACTCTGTACCTCCCTTCATTTGCTGTCCTACATGCAGTGCAGCATCGTATTCGATCCAGCTGTCACCGTTTTCAGCGTGTTTCGTTTGCTGCCGAACGCTCTTCAAACGGCCCTCCTTGCAGCCAACAAAGCTCCACCACACCCTTTCACCCTCCAGATGCGTCGTTGGGCAGGACTCGCGGCTCGCTGCAGCGCGGATGCAAAAACACGGCCCATTCTGCCTGTGCTTCTCTGGCTGCGAGCACCTGCTGGCACCGGCGCAGCTCCTCCCACATGGTCGTCGTACGCAGCCAATCCTGCCGTGACCGACCAGCTACCGAGCGACATATAGCTCGAGTTGATCTCCAGACATCTACCCAGCGTCGCCTTCAGCTCGCGACCATTTCCTAAACGTACCCATTGGTAAACTACCTTTTGCCTAGTACCAACGCTACAAGGCCCATCGTCGCGGCACACGGCTGGTAGGTTTTGGCTGGAGTCCTTCCCTCCGAAACAGCGGAAGGTCCACCATTCAACGTCGTCCCGCGTCGCTTGGGGCCGATTATCACTGCTAGGGAGGCCCTGTCCACTGCTCAGAGCCGCACTCTATTGCTCGGATCCCTTCTCGAACTTCCCTCTGCTCATGTACCTAAGCTAATTTCCCGCCCGTGAAAATTTTCTCGAATGTCTCACAGCCTCTCCAACTCGCTGGCCTGGGGCGCGCAGCTGTTTACCGCTACTTCGTTGTCTGCAGTCGTCTTCCAAGGCATATGGTACTGTCGATGTCGGGCCCACTCGCGGCTGCATAGCGCTCCAGCGGCGCCGTTTTGATTCGATCAAAAGCGTCAACAACAAAGTAAATGGTCGCGGTTACATGGTTTGATCTCCCCGCTCGCACCTACTACGGCTCGATAAAGCAAGTTCGCAGCGCAAGTACCTCGCTCTTCCAATTTGACTGGCTCCGGCGGAACGCCTGTATCCGTGCTGTGCATGAAGCCTGCGCCTTGGACGCATACAGCCTGGTATCTCCCGTCAACACGCTCCTTGTAATCTCTCGGCACACAGTTCTCATTTGTATTTTGACCCCGATACTCGGTCCTTATTGGACTACATCGGGCCTTGTCCTTGGGGCTCATCGGGTTGCGTTCCTACCGAGCTTTCCCACAATACTTTCTGGAAGTGTCAAAATTCCCAGTACCCACTTTGCTATCAGACAACTCACCTTGCGTAATCCTTCGCACCCACCAACATCATGCGTTGCTATGACTCCCCATGACCTGCAGAACTGTTTTCTCCGCACCCGCATGCTACTATCGTCATGGACTGATTTCAGAATGAGGCTTTCTCACCAAGTGGACCAGCGAGATACGAAGCGCCGTCGATTCTACACCGTATTCCCACCTGTCTCCAAGACGACCACTAGGATAAGACAAACGCGGCGGTATGGAAGCAACTGCGACACCCGCGAGTACTAACCACAATGGCTATGACGCATCGCTCAGGTTTGCGCAGCCCTATCGCATGCAGTTTCATGTCTGCAGCGCTGCGGATTCGCCAGGCATTGCAGGCAACCATGTTAGTCTGCCACGACGCAAGCTGAGCACCGCTGTCGACGACATGCGAGCGCTCTAGCTGCATGACGCACCTCCTAGAATAAATTCCTCGAGCCCAACGATTCGCTCGTGTATTGCAAATTCAATACACCGTAATTGCGAGTATCCGCAGACTCGACGATGTGTGGCGGTGCACATGCTTGGCATGGACGCTCCGAGTCACATGCGCACAACGATTCGCGTTGCAGGGGTGTGGCAAGCGAAACGTTGAATTCCCCTGTGGCGGAATGTCGCCTCAACATCACGGACGTCGGACGAATTATCACAAGCAACGCGCAATACACTTTCTCATTGATCACTCTAGGGGTCCGGACGCGTTCGCGATGGGGCTTGTCAGATGGCAAACATCACCATCGCCTTGGTCCGCTTCGTCTTACATTTCGTAGCCATCGATCGGCCAGGTCACCGCCGGCGGCCTTACTGCGTCTCCGATTTGACCGCTTCCGTCAAACAATAGCGAACAATTGAAACACTTAGCGACTCTCGCCACACGGACGATGCCTCTTTCGACGAAACAGCTCGAGGCGATCATGCGAGCAATCCAGCTCTCTATCCTGTGAACACTGTTGATATATTCGCCACACATTTCCATTGCAATAGACTCCGCGCTTCCGCAGCCGCCCGCTCATCGAAAAAGCACCACTTCAGCGGTGAGTCATGGTATAGGGAAGAAGCCTGTCCGTTTAGCGAGCCACATGGAAACCAGGCTTCTCCCAGCAGCGCGCTGCATTGACGAGCAGTTTAGACAGGTGGACTTTGTCCTGCGTCATAGCTTTCGCCCACCGCCATATTTGCTTTCAAGCAAGGTTGAAGCATGAATAGTGCATGAGGCTCCGCGAGAGTGACAGGCCAACCCCGACGTCGTCCGTTCGCTGTGTGCGTCGTTCAGGCAACGCGTACGAGCTCCGATCAGCGTGTTGAGGTATCGATAATTTTTTCGTCAATCGTCGGTGAGAGGGGTCCTGCGTCTCCGCCTTCCGCTTCGCTGCTATCGTGAGGCGGAAGATCCAGTTTCATGCGTTTGCTTTTGCCCTATCGTGGTAGGCGTCGCTGTGATATCGGAGGACGATTTGCGTAACCTCCAATCGCTACACGGAACTGCTATTGCGCCACCCCGGGACCACGATTCCCGTGACCGTCTTGCCGATGCTTGAGACGCGTATAACGGTCTTGCTTCCTTTTGCGGCTGCCGGGCGGGTGGAAAAGGGACAGTGCTTCAGCTCTACCGTGCCTGCTGCCTAGAGAGACTATCTCAACGACATCGACTGCGGATGACGAGGCTTGCGTCGATCGACGTACGATCGGATAGGCTAGACGAAACGGTTAGTCAACTCGACCATACACTCGAACGATCTTCACGGATATTAGGTATGCCGCATGCATGTCTACCGTCGAAAAGAGCCGCGGAAGGGGTGTTGAGTTGCCACGAAAAGCACCCATAGACTACTCCTAGTGTTTGGTACCTGAGGCTCTGCACAGGTACTTGCTGCGCCGATGGCAGACCGTTCCGAGGGGTAATCGGTACCGGAAGTCAGCTCAAGGTGTTTATCCGATGTTGACATGGGAGCTTGTGCTTCAAGTTGATGTACCCGCCCGGTATACGGGCCTTTAGGGAGGGGTTAGAGTTGTCGCGTGAGGGGATTGACTTGCGCTTATGTACTGCATCGCGAGGCTAGATGCGACCTCCGATTATTGGTGGTGTAGCAAGCTCTTTGCTTGTTGCTTCACTTTTGTATCCAGGTATTCTGTGTTTGAAAATTTTCTTCCTGCTTACTTTCTGACCGCTTAGGTAGATCTTCACGACCAAGAAGAAAGGATTTCGTCTCGTTACAGGCATGCAGGCTTCCTTCGAACATTGGTGTATGCCAATGGTATTCCTTGCTGATGCATCATTCAGCCTTATCAAGCTCGTTGAGCTTGCGATCCATCCTGGCTATGTCTCACATCTGATTTCGACGTCTCAGAGTCCGTCTTCTGGCCGGGGAATCTGTGCTCAGCTACTTTCGCTGAGGCAGCGCAACAGCGTAGTATCGCATCTGCTCTGGTACCGATGCTCTCTCATATAGGAAGTCAACTAAGTGAATGCAGAAATACTGCCTAACTTCCCACATAAACCGTCTTCTTTGCGTCAAATGTCACTTGATACTTCTGCTGGGTTGCTCTGTCGTCTAGATTCCCGCCGCTATACAGCTCTCACGCACTCTCACAAGTCATCTAAGGGCAGCAGTCGAGTACCATTGGAAAAGAAGGAGGGGTACGGCTACTGCGTACTGTGCTTATTTACGTATACAAACCTGGGGAATATTGGCAGCCGCAACATTATTCTGGAATCGGGTTGGCTGGGTGAATTTGGGAGTGCCCAAAACTCTGAGATGTCTGTAATGGTGCAGCTTCGTTACCATTGCTGTGAGAACCAACACTACTCAGATACGTCGAGGCTGTGCCTGCCTATTAGTATTCACATTGCCGGATCGAGCTTAGTACATTGCCTCATTGGAGGACTCTCACGTGAGGGCGGGGTAACCTCAGGCTACTTCCAAGGCTGAACCTCTAGGATGCCACCAGACCTGACTGTACACAATTCATACTGCAGTTCTCTCAGCCCACTTCCTCGCTTCTCTCTCGATAATCCGGCATGTGAGAAGTCGCGATGTCGTGCCGCTCCGAAAGCGACGAGTACAAGTCAGCCTTGACTGACCGATTCACTGATCTGAAGGATCCAAAGCTATTCGACTTTCAAACCGCCGAAGTCTTCAGGCACCAACCACTGCAAGACCCCAGTACGGAACTTCGCTATCTTTACCTGCTTCCAAAGACACATAATGTCAACCACGATGGACAGACCATCGTCCGCTGTCAGCTTCACTCAGATGCTGAAGAACAAGCGCCCCGCTACATCGGCTTATCTTACACATGGGGGGACCCTGAGCTTCGTCGTCCAATCCTTGTCGGCGACAAGATCTTTCATGCTACTGTCAATCTTGCCATCGCCTTGGAGCATCTGCAAGAAGAGATAAAGACAATAACTTTCTGGATTGACGCCATCTGTATCGACCAAAGTAACCTGGGCGAGAAGAGCATACAGGTTCAGCGAATGGGCAATATCTTCGCGTCTGCCACTCTTGTCATTGCTTGGCTTGGACCTGCAGCAGATGAGAGCGATTTGGCACTACGAGAACTAATGCGCTACACCGATAACTATACGGATTCTCATGGAAAGCTCAAAGACATATTCGGCGAAGGGTGTACAGCTCTACCCATTGAATCAATCAACGCTTTTTTCGATCGCCCATGGTTCAAGCGCGTGTGGGTCGGCCAAGAAGTTGCCCTAAACAAACACGTTATTTTCGTCTGTGGCCAGCTCGATGTTCAGCGAGAAGAATTACTTACATGCGACACGACGTTCACAGTTTCCAGAGCTTTATTGGAAGGAACAGGAACCAAGACACACACACGTAACGCTAGACTTAACGCCATAACATCTCTTCCTTTACGCGACTTCCTACTTCACGTTAATGCCGCTCTTCACTTGTCTTTCGGTAAAAACCTCGAGTCCTCCGATCCAAGAGACTTCATCTACAGTTCATTGGGGAGACTCAGTAGCCTTGGAGATGGCGTGATTGAAGTTGATTACAGCAAACGAGTCGAGGACGTATATACGGAATTTGCTGTAGCTGTGATTCGGGTTGGAATGATTCACTGGCTGAGCTACAATTGGCGTCCCTCAGTGAACTACGAGGATCTTCCATCGTGGGTTCCCGATTGGTCTAATACAGAACCATGTCGCGATCCTCATGACGTGGAGGCGCTTGAGTACAATATTGTGGAGGTTTGCGAAATCGAAAGAGGCTGCAAAGCTCTGAAGATCTCCGCTCGATGCATTACTCAAATCAGTAGCATTATTCGCAGCTCAAAGTCCGAGCAAGAGTCATTTTCTTTCGATCTGTCAACTTCCGCGATCGTTACCCAGCAAGAAGAAGCGAGGGTTAGATTATCTTTGGACACGATCCGACAAGCGCTTGACGACAAAGAGCGATGGGACCATGAGGATGTGGAAGAAGCTGTATTTGATCTCTCGAATGGTATGTCAATGTTCAGGGCTCTCAACTACGATAGAGAGACCTGGGAAGGCGATTTGTACAAGTCATACGAAGTTTTCCGGGATCTTGAGAATCTGCCCAGCGATATGACAGACCTGAGACAATGGGCAAGAGATACTAGCCGTGATTATCTCAAAGCTCTCCAGGAGCCAAACATCGATAATTTCTTCGTGACCGCTGCAGATATTGTCGGTACAAGTCGGGATGAGATACAGCCTGGTGACTGGGTATGCGAACTTGGAGGTGTTAGGGGTGCATGGATCCTTCGGGAGGTAGACGGGGGCTTTTATCGTATCGTTAGTTTCGCTAATGTCTTTCCCTGCGGAGATGTTGAGAACAGCGATGCGCCGGTCGAGACCATCACTATCATATAATAGGATAGACCACGAACATGGGGAATGAGATCCCTAATATCATATGTCATCTTACGTACAAAACGGACGCCTTGCACATCCCTCGGTAGCTCCCAAGACCCACCTTCAACTTTCCCTACAGGACCAAAACAACAAGTCTGTACATGCTGAACTTGAGATTACTATGCTATGAAGCACCTCAATCGCATGTCATAGACACAATCCAACGGTGTCAAGCACTATTCTCGTTGTATTACTAGCTAGTACGGTATTCTGATATGAAAACGTCCCAAGCCCTTTCCTCCCCTTCCCAGTGATGCCATCCTCCAATCCTAGTATAAAACCGTCCCAAGCCCTTCCCTATCCGATGATGACTACTCTCATAACCCTCATCTTCTCACGGCACGTAATCCTTGTCTCCTTCATCATGGTGACTTCCCTCAGCCGATTCGGGTGTGTTGGTTTCGGGGGTCTCACATGAACCGCTCGTCTCCGGCGTGCTGTCTGAATGCTTCAGCATCCGAGTCTTCTCGCGTGCCATCTGTTTCCTCGCAGTGTCACGGTACGGTGGCTGTAGGTGTTCAGGAAGAGCTCCCTTCTTCGTAGGGATTTCTTGTGCGACCCCTTGGATCTCCCCAGCGACTCCATAATCGTTCACCTGCGGGTGAAGAGCAGCAATATGGCCCATCATGTCGTCGAGTTCCACCTCCTTCTTTATAAGGTTGAGTAGCTCCTGCCGCTTGGGGTCGTGCTCTGAGATGTTGTCGACTTGGTGATTGATGAAGTAGGTGAATTTGGCGAGGTCTTTCTGTAGCGTCGCGGTGTGAGCGTATGTCCATTTTGGAGGCGGAAGTTGATCAGTTGACTGCTCGATTGACTGTTCGGGTGACTGTGGAGCCATTGTGCGGAAGCTCTTCGGAAAGTCCTGGACGCAGCGGTCACTCGTTCCCTAGTGCCTCTGTTCCTCGTCAACAAAGGTCCTGACAAGAGACATCCACGCCTCAGAGGATAGACGCGGAAGAGGTCTGTCCACGCCAACCTAGGAAAAAACTGAACACCCTGGAGCCTACGTTGACGTTGGGCCACCTACTTTGCAGGTCTTTATCTTGGTGTAGTCTGCAGGCCTGTTCAGTTTTTTTCCTGTATGAGGTGTGTCCACACGACAGAAGCCTCGGCAAGCTCAAGTTGACGGACCTGCCTGAGTACCATATCCTCCTCTTGGAGCGAAGCCTCGTCCGCCGCCTCTTGTGGGTCCTTGTGGCTGACGAACAGGTTTCTCTTGTGTGTTTGGTGTAGATGGGCGACTGATACCAGATTCTTTCTTCTGTATGAATACGGAGCCGGGCTTTGGGGTGTAGGTAGGATCGAAGAGTTGGCGCGCAGGAGCTACATGTGCTGTACGGGCGGGCGACTGCTCGTTGCTCGATCTAGGCTGGCTGTCCCTTCCACCGCGTCCTCGTCCTTTCCCTCGGGCAGCTTTGTTGGGGGAGTTGCTGCGCGAGTCCTCTGCAGCGGAAGCAGCTGGTGAGCCGAAGATGCGCTCTCGTGCTTCTGCGTACTTGCGCTCCTTCTCTGCTCGTTCCTTCTGTGCACGTGCTTTGCGCTCTTCGAAGTCTGCCGCTGCTTTCTTCCGTCGCTCCTCTTCACTATCGTCGTCGTCGAGGCTCATGCCTGCCATATTGCGGGAGAGAACTTGAGGAGTGGGCTTGCGTGCAAGCATCGTGACTTTCGGCTTGAAGGTTGCTGCGACGGGCGCGGGGTGGACTTCAGGGTACCATTGAGGCTCTGGGTTTTCGCTGTTCCAGTCAGGTCGCGTCGCGAATAATGAGAAATAGCAACCTACGCCGCCTGCCAAAGCTGTTTGTTGAGCTCAGCGTGTTGAGCTTTGAGTTGCGCTTTCGTAAGCTTCTTTGGTTGCTCTTCTACGGGCTTCTCATCTTCTTTCTATACATTGTGAGCGCGTTGCTGTCAAAGAAGAGGGGCATATGTACGTCGGCGAGTGATTCCCAGTCGTCCTCCCAAGCATCGGCGGGTGTGTTCTTTGGCGCCATGATCTCTATGAGTGGGTGCTCTGCCTGGCGATAGTAGAGGAGGTGTTGATTCAAAAGCTTGAGTCGCGTGGAGGAGTGATCAGTTCCAAGGTATAATGTCGCCAATATTTCGAGAGTCCCCACCTTGACCCCTGCGGCGGGCCGCGATTAGCTCCTCCACCGCTATGTCATTCACTGTTGCCTTCCACCGCGACGAACCACACGCGTCGCAAACCCTTTCACCGCCGCTATCGCCCTGGAAATACCCCGGCAAATTCCCTTCAACATGTCAGGTAAGCCTACACTGCACGCCATCCACCCACCATGTCCAACAAACGACCGCGCATCCAGCTAACCCACACCTCAGACCGCGACGGCGACTCCACCATGCAATCGTCCCCCGCCAATGTTGCTTCGGACGATGAAATGTTCCCCGACGAAGCTCTTCCAAACCCAGCCACACCGCTCAACGCCAATCTCGCAGGCGTAAACGAGATATCACCACCAAACTCACAATCCACAACTCGCGAGACTCTCGGCGTCAATTCCAACGGAAAGCGACCACTGTCGGGCGGTATGGCGCAAGCAGCGACGAGTAACGGTGCGGGTGGGAGTGGGACACATCAGGATGCTGAGACAGGTTACCAGTGGAGTAAGCAGGAGGATCAGCCGGGCTATGAGTGGAAGAACACGAGGGCGAGGGAGGAGGAGGCTAGGGCGCTGGACAACATTGCCGACAAGGGCTCTATGATCAGATGTCAGTGGCTGGTAACCGATTATGGAGAGGAGAAGTATGCTAACAGATATGTAGTGCGATACGGTGACCCGCTCGATGCTAGCATACCCTCGAAGACGAAGCGCTGAAGGCGGTCTATAAGCATGCTCGAGGAGCACTGAAACATACACGCGAAGACTATGGTCACGACGGGGGCTGCGCAAAGAACATGGTATCATGGTTGCAAGTTGCGCGTGACACTCTGGGTATCCGACGTTACGAGCTATACAGACATGCGCAATGCAACGACTTCATGCAATGAGATGACTGGTGGGCTTAGACAGCTTCAACATATCTCAGGAAGAATACAACATATTCAAGTCCATTCCTCGATAGGTCTTGTGTCAAATCGTACTTCCAGTCTTTCGTCCCGAACGCCGTCCCATGCAGTGATATATTCCCATTCAGACGTGACAAGTCCAACTCTCAATCGCTCTCATTCCCATCCTCGTCATCGTCATCATCCTTATTGTCCTCCTTCTCCTCCAGCGGATCCTCCGTCAACTCCTCCCCAACAACCTCCTCCTCAATCTCGTCGTCTTCAACCTCTTCATCCTCCACATCCTGTGTCTCATCCCCCTCTTCTTCTGTAACCTCTCCATCTCCAGCATCTCCACTCTCCCTTCTAACCCTCTTCGTCGCTCTCTCGCCATCATCTGCACCCTCCATGACCACATCCCCGTTTGCCGCTGACTTGGCCGGTGGGGAGGTAGCTGCATCGGTGGAAGCAGTAGTGCCTTTCTTCTCCTCGCGCACCTTCTTCCTGTACGTGTTTCGCTTATCGGCTTGTATCGACGTGAACTTTGTGACTTCGGCTTCGAGGCGGGGTAGCATAAAGGAGAATTCTAGGTCTGTCATTGCGTCGAAGACGTCTTTCGGCATGACGGTTTTCTTGCCGCTGGCGAGGGCTTTTTCGGCGGCGCTGCATGGTTGTTAGTAAATGTCCATCTATGGCAACTCGCGCATGCCATTGGCGCGGAAGTCTTCTGGCGCCAGGAGAGAGAGGGGAAATCGTACGTTGAAGTGATGTAGTTAACAAACACAGTTGCGCTCTTGCTCATAGCAAGTAGCGCATCTTTTTGTATTTGGGTGTTGGGTGGTAGGACGCCTTTTGCCAGGCGCTGGACTATAGACTTTGGCAGGTTCAGGTCCTATGATCGCGTCATTAGTACTAGTCTTTTCCAATTGATCTCAGTCGCATGCGACGTACCTCAACACCCAAGCTCTCCTCTCTGGGTACTGATCTGGGTGGTGCGGGACTCTCTTCGTTTGACACCGCCGATACATTGCTCTTCCTAGGCGGCATTGTGTCGTGTGATGCTGTATGTGAGGATCTGAAGACGACGTCGTTCGAAAGATAGCGAGTATGCGATTGCGGGGTGGCTATCTTGGGAGTGGTGAGCGTGAAGGTGCGATGCGATCGTGGATAGTTTTAGTGGACCCTGACGCGTGAGCACGCGTTGAGGTCTGGGCGCGACTACCGAAAGACGACTGGAGGCATATATGCGTCACCAGAACCACCAATATCATATACTTGGAGCAATCTGTGACATGAAATAGGGCTCGATGTTATGCCCCTGAGCTACAACAAAAGTAGCACACGAATCAAGCTTGCGCAAGAATTACACTTTTGTGAGTTTAGGTACTCCAAATTTCGCAACACCTGGTAGGCGCACACAAGTTCTGTACGGAGCAAAGGCTACCGAATTCTATTTACAATTTTGCTGGAAACTTCATTGATTGAGTGACGTTCTTCACGCATCAATATCAGGGCCAGACATCAGTTGGTGCGCATCATTTCTACCTCGACGCGGCCAGGTATGCCCAGGCGATGTTGGCATCAACACCACAGACGCTGAGGATGAATCGCATTTAAATCGATGCAGTCTAGTTTGTATCTTCGAACTGTCTTCTCATCAACACCAACCTTCGATTACTAGAATTACGTATTCTCAGTGACGCTTTCTCATTTCCCTCAAGTTTCTTGTAACTAAATAAGGTTTGGAAGCAGCGTCAAACACAAAGCTAGATGAGAACAAGGTAGTAGCAGGATTTTGCGATTCTAAAGACCAAGGCAATTGGTGTAATGTCAGCCGCATGTTCAGATGGCACGATGGCTCCCAAGGTCCTGTCCCTTATCGATACCTCGCCACGTGCGGCTCTAGTGCGATCTGAACACCCCACTAAACCCGTGGCTAAAGCCCAGAGTGGTCCTTCCTCCACATCTACACCAACGCTACGCCGTCGCCAGATTCAGCTCACAACATTCCTTTAATGTTCGCCAGAGGCGCACTTCCCGTGTTTACGCCAGGACGCCGTTATCGTGGCACGAGGCGAAGCGGGCAACAAACCCGCCTCCGGAGAAGTGAGCAGCTGGATTCTCGTTCTCCCCGAGCAGCACAGGCAAATCGGTCCGCCAATCGTCGTCTTGTGGAGGCCAAGAGCCATTCGAGCGTACCCAATCTCGAAGCGAGCACCTACCGCGGCGCCGTTGCTGGATGTGGCACGCCTCGAGAAACCCCGCCCATTCTGTGCTTCTCTCCAAACTTTTGACCTTGATCCCTCATAACAGCCGGTGCAATATGCGTCGCTAACAGATCGCTTGATCTCCAGATTTTGGATCGCGGAGTACATGTGGAGACAACCATTCCTCTGCTACCATGTCGAAGGTTCTTCTACAGATGCTAGCGGGGCGGATCTGGGGTATCAGCGTGGCTGAATCCAGACTACCAGCCAAGACAACATGGCCTGCTTGGCTGCATCCCGCTGTCCAGCACTCTGCGGAAGAATGGCTGCACAGAGCTCTTGGGTATTCGGGCCTGTAAAAGTGATGCGGCGTAAGTTGGACAATTCGTGGACGATCGATATGATCAGGATAGGGATGAAACGGGTAGCTTGGTTCACGATTACGCCTACCACGAACATCCCTTCCATCTAGGGTTTGACAGCGCAGCCCTAACAACGTATGCGCATACATTATGCCTTCAACCCAAAGGCTTCAAGGTACATCCTTGGCAACCAGATGACGTTCGAAATGGCAAGGTACGCGCGAAGCCAACGGTAAGCAACATATAGGCCCAATATCCTCATGCACTCAGCCTCCCTTTCTCGGGCGGATTGCACCTTTCACCTTCCGTTATCACTATCGCAGTTGCATGCCCAGCAAATCCTCTCATCCTTGGCATACCTCCTACCCCGGCAAACGTTCTCCTAGTGTGGACTGCACCGATAACCGCGTGCCTGGAACCTGAGCGAATCGTCCACACCCACCCATCCGCTATTAAGCCCTGCGAGGTCCCTGCATTGCTGATCATCCCTTCTTCTCCCCCAGCAAAAATGACGGTGCCAGCTTTGAGGGTTATTATCGATGGCGATAGCAGCAAGACGTATAGGAGCGGAGAAAAGGTCACTGGAAAGATATGTTTGGCAGTAGAAGAGCAGGAAGACATTGAGTCGCTGAAGGTAGTTTTTGCGGGTAGTTGTGTCACCAAGACATCCAGACCTCTACATGTGAACTCGAAAACCCACCCATCTGCACAAAGGCATGAATACGAGGAGAAGATACGGCTCTTCAACCGTGAGAAAGAGTTAGTTTCCTGTCGCAATCTTGGACCGCGGAAGTATTCATGGGACTTTGAATTTGTCTTTCCAGCGTCGACCGAACCCCAAATGAAGGGCATGGTACGCGGCTGCAACTATCTTCGCGAGCCACATCCACTTCCGCCATCCTTCCAGCTGAAGACCAGTGGGCCAGGCGGTGCGGCACAAATATCATACTTCGTCCAGGCCAGACTCATTCTCAGTGGCTCGACAGAGACCAAGAGGTGTAAACATATACTACGATACCATCCAAGAACGTTAGCGGACGTACCACGAAGGGCGCAGGTCAAATCTTCTGTGCTCCACGGCCAAGTCTGGAAACCGAACAAAGAGAAGGATGGATCTCGAGTCAAGAAAGTCTTCTCCGGCGTCTCTATGAACTCAACGCCGCGGATCGTTCCCACGCTGAACCACCCCGGAAAGGTTTGCCCAGGACAGCATATGCCGTTGTCACTCAGCCTACTCAACGCGCGCGACCCCGCCAACCATGCCGAACGGGAATGCATCATCGACTCGCTGACGGTGACAATCTCAACATACTCAACGACAAAGTGTGGAAACACCGTAACGGATCCCGAGGACGTCGTATCTAAGCATATCACCTGCATATCGCGTACTGGTATGAACAGACCAATACCGTTCAACA